AATTTAAATATTCCAAAATAATACATTTACCATGTTTTGAAGTTCATTTGAAGTGTAAACACTAGATCTATGTATTTTTCATATTAAAAACACTTAAACGCGTTTGTTTTTCGCAAGCGTGTTTTGCACACATTGTGTTTTTTTTAGTAGCTTCCTTTACTTCTGCTTAAGTCATTGTTTAATTGCAGTTTCAACACTTGTTGTGGTTTTAGCTCCTCCACCCACCTCTGGCATTTCATTACGACAGCTCTTCGTGATATTCCTTTACGACACATAAAAGGCAGACATTGCTGCTGTGGTTAGTGTGAAATCTCAGGCAGTGGAGAAAGTCTCTTAAACGTGTGTGAAGAAGTTTACAATTGTTGTCTGGCAACCGCAAAAGCCTGCCGAATCCTTTCAAGTAGGCCGAGATGGTGGGATGTTGACCTTTGGGCATTTTCTGTATGCTTAGTAATCTGGGTTATGAATAAGTGAGCAAAGTCCTCAGAGTGGTGAGTCACAGATCAGCGTGCTGGACCGTAACTTTTCCATCCTGACCCCAACCTGCTCACAAAAACAAAGAGCAATAACTCCTGTTAATATTTAAATATTAAACGAAATAGTCTTTGTCGTCAGTCATCAGCATTTAGGCTCCATGCAATACATAACAGCAAAACGAGTGCACAATATACACCAATCAGCAATAACAGTAAACCCACCTGCTTCTATATACACTCATCAGCCATCGGCTCCACTGACCATATAGGAGCACTATGTAGTTCAACAGTTACAGACTGTAGGCCATCTGTTTCTCTGCATCTGTTTTTTAATGGTCAGGACCCCCACAGGACCCCCTCAGAGCAGGTACCATTTGGGTGGTGGATCATTCTCAGCACTGCAGTGACACTGACGTGGTGGTGGTGTGTTAGTGTGTGTTGCGCTGGTACGAGTGGATCAGATACAGCAGTGCTGCTGGAGTCTTTAAACACTGTGTCCACTCACTGTCCACTCTATTAGACACTCCTACCTTGTCGGTCCACCTTGTAGATGTAAAGTCAGAGACGATAGCTCATCTGCTGCTGCACAGTTTGTGTTGGTCATCCTCTAGTCCTTCATCAGTGGTCACAGGACGCTGCCCACAGGACGCTGCTGAATGGTTCTCAGTCCAGCAGCAACACTGAGGTGTTTAAAAACTCCAGCAGCACTGCTGTGTGTGATCCACTCGCAACAGCACAACACACACTAACACACCACCACCACATAAGAGTCACTGAGAATGATCCACCACTCAAATTATACCTGCTCTGTGGTGGTCCTGGGGGTCCTGACCATTGAGGAACAGATGCAGAGAAACAGATGGACTACAGTCTGTAACTGTAGAACTACAAAGTGCTCCTATATGGTCAATGCAGCTGATAAAATGGACAATGAGTGTAGAAATGAGGAGGTGGGTTTAATGTTATGGCTGATGGAGATCTGAGATCTGATTGAGATCTGAGTCGAGTCCCCAAACAGGGAGATATTTAGTTCAGGGAAGGATCAGATTTATTGCCGTCTGCAGGTAAAGGAGCAGCAGCGATGTTGCAGTGAGAGGGAATCAGAGGTGATACAGCAGGTTTGACTAGTTAAACCTTTACCCTCATTATTTCACAGGCCACATGCTCAAACTACAGGTAACCAGCTATTGTTCTTATCATTAAGTGTCGTCAACAGCAGTTGTAAATCACGTCATCGTGCTCTTGTTTTTCACCTGAGCAATAAAGAACATTCAGATTGTGGCCTTGTAGGGTCATAACTGTGGAAGCCCCTTCCATGCCAGGTGGAAAAGAAAAACATGACCTAGGTCTCTGGCAGCAGTACTTCTAAATATTAATGTAATATCTCAAAATAATCTCTTATTTTCTCAAAACATTTACTTTATATCTTGAAATATGGACTTAATATCACAATACTGACTTACTCTGAAAATAATGACTTATTTTCTCAACATACTGACTTACTATCTCATAAAAATAACTTATTTTCTTGAAATATTTACTCGTAATCTCAAAGTAATGACTAATTTTCTAAACAAAAAATGATTTATGATCTTGAAATAATTATCTATTTTCTCAAAGTTTTGACTTGTAATAAAATAATGACTCACAAAATATTGATTTAGTATCTTAAAGTACTGGTTTATTTGCTGAAAATTTCGACTTTGATTTCAGACCTCAAAATAAGGACTTATTTACATGATGTATTTATTTATTATCTCAAAATATTGAATATTATACTAATAATAATATTAACTTAATATCTGAAATGTTGAATATTCTTCTCCAAATTTTTAATATCTTGAAATAATGACATTTTCTCTCAAATCTTTGACTTGATATCTCAGAAAATTACTTATTTTCCCAAGACTTTCAGACACTAATTAAAAATAATGAGGTTTAAATTTCAAAAAAGTATGTAATAATCTTGGACAAAAAGTCAATATTATGGGATATGAAATCTTTATTTTGACATAGAAAGTCAGCAATTTGAGAGAATGAGTCATCATTTCAACATAGGAAGTCATTTTTTGTCATTCACAATTATTTAAGTTGTTGTTTTTTGTTGCTTTGTTGTTGCAATAAAAGTACGTTAGTATCAATATGATGAAATGCTGTCAGTGTGTTGAAACAATATTGAGATAAACCTTGATAGTCTTGGTCACTGAAGTCCTGCTCATACTTTTTTCTAACCCCCAATTTGAACCACTTCAGTAGAATGACCCATTTACTGCCTGCCAGATGCCTCAACTGCATATGCATGAGGCTGAACGCACCTATACAGACAAATGAAGCGGAGTGCCACGCCCCAGGTCACGCGGTCTTGATTTCACAACCTCTAAGCATTGCATCATAGCCAAGGCATGAAGGATTAACCAGTGGCTTCTCTCCTAACTCAGGAAATCCCCTCTATACATACAAACCCCCTTCATTCTCATATCCAAACTCAAAAATGCAATGCGTCCACCTATGAAATCGTCACTGGGAGGTGGATCCAACCCCCAGTCGCTTACTCCCCAAACACAGAACTGGACAGCGGCACTCACTGAAGGAAAAAAAGGTACATCAGTTAATAAGCTCTTCATATTTGCAAGGCCAGAGGCCTAAATAAGATTACAGTGATTAAATTAGACTAATAAGTATAATAGTCAGGGTAAGGTTCGGTAATTATAGTGACCTTAAACTCACTCCAGGCTCACTGGAGACACTTGGGGACAGCAATTTGTCTATAAAAAAATAGCCTGAAACACAACCCCACCCCCCAGTCCATTTTATCAGAAAGTACTTCCACTTATTGGTCACTTTATTATAAACACCTACCTTGTACTTCCACTCACTGGCCGCTTTATTAGAAACACTCACCTTGTACTTCTACTCACTGGCCACTTTATTAGAAACACCCACCTTGTGCTTCCACTCACTGGCCCCTTTATTCTGCGGTGGACTGTAGTGGTCAGTTAATGATAGGACAGCTAAAGATCACCCTGTTCACATTCAGTGTGGCAGTTTGAATCTGGGGCTGGTTGACACAACAGGTTGTGTTTTTGTATCACTTACTGATGTGGCTGTTTTGAATCATATGAAGATGGACAGCAAGAAAAAAAGAAGGATTCAGTGACATAAATAAAAATATTAGATATATCTGAGCACATGGACTGTGAGAAATGCTGACAGGACCTTAGCAAGCTAACATTAGTTTGTAGCATATTGATTGTCATGATTATGTCACATTCAAAACAAAAGTTTTCTGCAGTATCCATTTTATCACTAGGTGGCCAGTTTGGTTACATCAGTATAGAAAATAAATGGGAGCAAGAAATGAAGAAGATAAAACGCCCAGATTTGAAAAAAGGCAGTTTGGAAACCTAATTTTTGATTTTTAGAAATGAAAGGAAGTGGGTGGATTTAGTGTAAGCCTTTCACACATCTTTGTTTTTGTAGAATATAGGGGGGGGCTGGTCTGCATCATGTAACAAGTCCCACTGCGGCCCTGGCTGCTACTGTTACACCTGTACCAGCACCACACACACTACCATGTCACTGTGACTGTACTGAGAATGATCCACCACCCAGGTAATATCTGTTTAACACAAGTCCTGTGGTCAGAAACTGACCAGTGATGAATGAGGTTGATGGGTATGGAGCCCTTAAGGTGACATGATGATTATATTCTAATAAGGCATGGCCACAAATTAATATATTGAGGCCACAATTTGCTATGTTAAGGCCACAAATTACCATATTGAGGCCACAAATGAATATACTGAGGCCAGAATTTACTATATTGAGACTACAAATCAAAATATTAAGGCCACAATTGACTATAATGAGGCCACAAATTACTATATTGAGGCCACAAATTAATGTATTAAGGCCACAAATTACTATACTGAGGCCAGAATTTACTATATTGAGGCCACAAATTAATATATTAAGGCCACAATTGACTATAATGAGGCCACAAATTATTATTTTGAGGCCAGTATTTACTAGATTGAGGCCAAAATTTGCTATATGGAGGCCACAAATTAAAATATTGTGGCCACATTTGACTATATTGTGGTCACAAAATAATATATTCAGGCCACATTTTACTAAATTGAAGCCACACATTAATATACTGAGGCCAGAATTTACTATATTGTGGCCACAAATGAATACACTGAGGCCATGAATTACTACACTGAAGCCACCAGTTTTGAGAAACTTGAACTCGTGTCCTCAACATATTAATTCGTGGCCAAACCTTATTAAAAAATAATCACCATGTGACCTTGGGGGTCCGTAGATGGGGGCTGATCAGCTGCGCACAGAAGGAAAACAGTCTGTAACTGCAGCGTATACAGTTTCTAATACAGCAGATGGGGAATGGGGGGATCTCAGTGTAAAATCACTGCGCTGTCACTGCCGAGATTTCACTGATTGGACGTCTCTTTGACGTCATATGACGCAAGAGCGCGAAGCTCCTCCCACTAAAAGTTTTCCCTGCATTGTAACTTACTCACTGGCTTGTTCGGCGTGTTGGAGAAAGAAGCGCCTCAGGTTTCCGGCGACTGAATTACTGTAAACTAACTGAAATGATGAAAACGGAATAGTCGAGACAATCAGAAGAAGCTTTGGATGTGCTTTTGAAAACAGCCGCGTTCATTCTGTGTGTTTTTTCCCACGACAAAAAGCGAGAAACTTTGGGAATCTTTGGAAAAACATTGGGCTCGAGCCGCAGGAGGAGAGCAGGATGGGCAAGTCCTTCGTCATGAGGCTCACGGTAAGAAACATTAGAAACATTTTAACCAACTTTATACGCCTTTCTCCGACCAGAGAGCGCTAGAAAGTGACAAGCGACAAAAAGTCTTACTTTTATTTCCATTTCGCCTCGTTATGGACCTCTTTATTACTGATATTGGGTTTATTAGGGTACCGAACAGAAACGTCTGGTCTGAGGTAAACTGAGTCTTAGGGTAACCGTTGGAAAATTCCCACATTGTAGCTTATTTTAGCTTTTTTAACGTCCTAATTTGCTTCTTTTAACCTCTGTATTCTAAATACAGGTTGTTATATCCATTTTAATCCCAATAGTCTTTCAAAAATAGGCTTTCTATTCGACGGTGTCCATATTTTACCTCAGTGAAAAGCTCTCAGCTCTGTCCCATATCCCGTATACTCAGTATTTTCCCACATTAAGGTGAGTTCTGAAGGCTGTTTTGCTCTTTTAGGCTAAAACTCGCCAAAAAAAGAGGAATAAGGAATAAGAAAAGGCGGTTAAATTGAGCTCAGCAAGTGGTCAACTGGTTAAAGTCTCTGCTGGGTCCGTTTCTCAACATGTCTGAGGCCTGTGGAAGTCACTGAAAGGCATGTGCGCTGGAGAAATCACAGTTTGGTGACATTTGACAGTTTGTTCAAATTCAAATGCACCTGACACAACTTCAGTCTCAAATGGTTCAGTGCTCCATATATGGTCCACTGCATAGGTCATAAAACTAGACCTGGACTCAGACAGTGGTCTGCATGTTAGATATGGAGTCGTACATCCCCTGACGACTTTCTGGTTGAAATTTAATGCACTTTTTGGGTGTAGAAGCTGTTGTTTCATATCTAGTGCGCTAAGTAGGGAGCAGTTCATTTGTGCATTTGGGATTCAGCCCAAGTGTAGTGTGTTTGGGCAGGAAATTGACCAAATTGTGCTGGACTTTGGCCGTCCAGGAGGGAGGTTGGATCCCCCCTGGCTGTGCTATGGATCCTGTGCCTCTTAAAGGTGAATGCCACCAAAATTGCTGTGTAAATCAGTGGTTGAGGTGTAAACAAAGTCACTGAGATTGGTTCAATGTGAAGTGGTTCATTTTCAGAGAAACTTACAGACTCAGATTTCTTTACAGTGGTGGTGGTTGGAACCAAGGGGGGGGGCACAAATCCCAAATATAGCTATCCAGAACCATTGGTGAACCTGCACATGTCTTCTGAGTCTATATATGATGGTAAAATAGTGATAACTCTGGGGGGAAAAAAAAGTTTTCTTCAGGAACTGTTTTGCCTTAGAACACCCCCCATGTATCCCTTCACCATGAATGGATTGAATTAATGTGATTAAAAGACCAAAACATTGTCACAAAACTATCATAAAACAGTGTCTCAGTCATCAGGCAGTGAATTCATAACCATTTCATGTAGGAACTTTCTGTGAGGGAGCTTTTAGAGGTGGACGTCTGGTTCCTATCACCACCGCTGTGAACAGTTCTGACTCCAAGTATCTCTAGAATGGAGCATTTCATACGAAACCTTTCTGCACAACAGTTCAACAGTTAAATTTCTGAGTTTCTGACAAATATTTTGTACTTTTTTGGACTTATTTTAAGCCCTGGTGATTTGTTTGGAGTTGCTATAAGAAAAGCCTCACTGTGCTTCCTTGTGGTCACTTTGGACAGGAATCATCCACACATACCTGGGATGACCACACTGTGCTGCGGCATCTTTTTCTTCTTCTTCTTTTTCTTTCATTCAAGCCCTTCCATGACAAACTAACTGGCCCCAGCCTGCTCCTTTCACACACCTCAGACGGAGAGGGTGCGTTTTTTTTGTTTTTTAGGAGAAAGGATGCCAGTGTGAGCTTTATTCACCGCTGAAAGAGCCATTCACGGCTCCTCTGTTGGTTTTTCCAGCCCCGCTCTGCCAAAAGCCACCACCATAAATACACTCCACACACCGAATCCTACCGCGCACCTTCACAGGTTCCCGTGGGCCGGAGCCATCGTCTGCTTTCTACACATGCCACCTTAAAGGAATAGCTCAGGCAAGAGTGTGGATACAGTACAGGCTTCAGGATGGCTGCTGTGCTAATGTGCTTTTGTCTGATTTAAGTGTGTCATGCAGTGCTAGAAAGTCTTTTCAAGATGACTTAAAGTGGAATTGCACAGATTTTCAACATTTCTTCTTAATTCCCTGGTTGAGATTGAGTCTTTCAGAGTGGTTTGGTGTGAAATGGTTCAGATTTCTTCACAGTTGTGGTGATGGGAACCAGGGGTCGCCATGACTACAACACAAATATAGACATTTTATTTACTATCTAAAACCACTGGTGAACCCAGATGTGTCTTCTGAGCTTTTATATGTAACATTGAACATTGAAGATGGTTCTGAGATACCTCTGAAAATGCCCTGCATGCCACCCAGCATATATTTAAAAATGTATTTAGGCCAAAACCTCATCGCAGAGCCATCATAAAACAGTGTCTCAGTCATCAGGCAGTGAATTCATAACCACTTCATGTAGTAACTTTCTGTGAGGGAGCTTTTAGAGCTGGACATCTGGTTCCTATCACCACCACTGTGAACAATTCTAACTTGGTAAGTTTCTCTAGAACAGAGTGTTTCACACCAAACCACTCTCAATGACTTTGTTTACGTCTTAAGCATTTCATTATGCAGAAATTGTAGAAAATTGGTGGAATTCCACGTCAGTGTGAGTGCCAACTGGTGCCATAATTAAAAGGATGTGAAATGCGACAAGTACCAAAACACGCTCAAGACATTTTACGATAGTTAATGGCCCTAAAAAGTATTTTTACTTTTACTTTTTGGGCCTAGGGGGTAGGTTGTCCCGACTGTTATTGAGATAGAGGGGTAGGTTGAAGTGTTAGGGCTACATAGCCCTCCAAATGGAGGTTTTTCAGAGACTCCAAACTGAGTGATATGAGAAAAAAAAGAAAAACCGGCAAGACGGCTGAACAAGAGACCAAAGAAACCCACAAATGTGAAAATTTTCTCTGTTAAAAATTACGATAACCATCATATTACCTTAGATTAATGTCGTTTCAATGTATTATGGTCCTTTTCTTCATAACAAGCATAAAAAATAACCAGTACTATGCTGATGTCTCAATTCCACCTTAAGTGGTGCAGCAGTTCTGACGCCTGTACTACCAGAATGTAACTGCTGCCATTTAAGGTGGAACGGGAAAATTCAAACAAGAAGCTGGTGAATATCTGACTTCAGCTTCATATCACTGAAGAGTCAGGGGTGGGTGATAATAAATAATTGCCCCCCTCTCTGAAGGCATAGGAGTCCCTAAATGTAACTAAAGCCCAGCAGTGAGGAGCTGAACTTTACCCTCCTCTGCTGTCACTGCAGACTGGCAGGGTCGCCTACAGAGCAGCGCTGGTAGCTGTTAATGAAGTGATGCTCTTTTTATTTGAGGGTCCCATTTCAGAGAGGAAGATTTCAACCACTTCCCCTCATAACTCAGTTCTAAGGGGCGAGGAAGCACTCGAAAACAAGGGGTAGGGGTAAAAATAAGAACTGGGACTGGGCCTTGGTGAGGAGCTCCTCAGAACTATTAAAAGTTTTAATAATAAAAACAATAAAACAGAATGGTTTATTTCTATTGTTCCATTTATGACTTTATAAAAACTTATAAGACATGTAGGTTCACTGGTTGTTTTCGAGCCTGTAAGCTTCTCTACAATGAACCATTTCACATCAGATCATTCTGAATGACTGTTTACATTTCAAGTTCTGGAGAAATTTTGAAAAATCACTGGAGTGTCCCTGCAGCTACATGTAAGATAAGGGTCAAAAGAAACGTGTAAGTTCGAGTTGTCGCCCAAGCTGTTCCATTAAAGCTTATCACTGGGTATTAGCGCTGGATATTAGCCACTTCTGTGGAGTTTCCTCTCTCTGATGTGGCTCCAGAGTGGTTAGATCATTTTCCTCTGCGCTTAAAGCCTCAGAACCGGCCCTGGTTGCTCACCGCCGCTCATCCCACGCTGTTTATTGAAACGGAATAGCTGGGATTGTTTGCCATGTCCGTGTTTATGCTCCGTGTAAACTGTGCTAGGTTATGCGTCGGTCGGTTGCTGTGATGGAAGGTCCATCCCGGCCAGGCCGCATCGCTCACACATTCCCAAGCGGATGAGGAGGGAGGAGAGGGGGGAAAGAGGGAGGGGGAGCCGGGGCTGCAGCACTGTGCCGCTCCTATTGTAAACTTCCTGTCAGCGCAGATGTTAGTGACAGGAATCAGAGCTCTGTATACAGTTCCCACCCACACAGACGCTGCCTCACGGTGCAATCAGGGGCAGAATCTCCAAACGCTCGCATGCGTCTCTCTTTCTCACCGCTTTATTATTCCCTCTCCCTCTTTCTCCCTCTCTCTGTCTCTGTCTCTCTCCCATCTCTCTCACTCTCTCTCTGTTTATCCCTTTCTCTCTCCCTCTTTCTCCCTCTTTCCACACAAACACGGACACTATGTCTCTCTCACGCTCTCTCTGTCTCAGTCTCTCACCCATCACTTTCTCTCTCTCTCTTTTCTTAAACTCTGTTGCACTCTATTGTTCTCTCTTTCTCCTTTCTCTCTTTTCTCCTCTCTCTTTCTCACCTATCTCTCTCCCTGTCTTTTGCCCTCTCATCCTTTTCTCTATCTCTCTTTCTCTTGTGCTCTCTATGAATATCGTTTTGTCTCTCTCTTTCCTTTCTTTCTGTTCGTCTCCCTCGTCTTTCTCTCTCTTTCTCTGTCTCTCTCCCCACCGCCCTCCCTCTCACTCTTACTTTTTCTCACTCATCTCTCTCTCTCTTTCTCCCCTGCACAGCTGTTTTCTCTCTCTCTCTCTCTCTCTGTCTTTCTCTTCTCTCATTTTTTCTTTGTCTTTTCTGTCTGTCTTTCTGTCTTTCTATGTATATCTTTTTCTCCCTCTCTCTCTCTCTCTCTCTCTCTCTCTCTCTCTCTCTCTCTCCTGCCCCCCTCTTGCTCTCACTCACTTTATCTTTTTCTCACCCAT